CAGGAGGGGGGTCACATGGGAGCGCCACGTTGCTCCCATAAACCTGCGCGGCTGCATTCTGGACCAGCTGGAGCCTCCGGGGGCTCCTCAAGGGGAGCCCCATGTAGAGAGCATTGCAGTAGTCCAAGTGGGAAGTAACGAGGGCATGAGTGACCGTGTTTAATGAGTCCCGATCCAGAAAGGGGCGCAACTGGTGAATCAGGCGGACCTGATAAAAAGTCCCCTGGCCACGGCCGTCATGTACTCTTCTAAAGACAGCGTGAGTCCAGGAGAACACCCAAGTTGCGAACCCTCTCCGTGGGGGCCAATGACTCGCCCCCAATAGTCAGTGATGGCACCAACTGACTATATCGGGATGTCGGAAACCACAGCCACTCGGTCTTGGATGGGTTGAGCCTGAGTCTGTTTCTCCCCATCCAGATCCGCACAGCCTCCAGGCACCGGGACATCACTTCAAGGGCATCATTGGGGTGGTCCGGGGTGGAGATGTACAGCTGAGTATCATCAGCGTACTGATGGTACTTCACCCGAAACCACGGATGATCTCACCCAGCGGCTTCACATAAATGTTGAACAGAAGGGGTGAGAGGACCGACCCTTGTGGCATCCCACATACAAGGGGCCTCGGAGTCGACCTCTGCCCCCGTCAACACAGACTGTGACGGTCAGAGAGAAAGGAGAACCACCGTAGGACGGTGCCCCCCACCCCTAACTCCTCTAGCCGGTGCAGCATGATACCATGGTCGATGGTATCAAAAGCCGCTGAGAGGTCTAATAGGACCAGGACAGAGGATCAACCCCATAGTTGATCAAGCAAAATTGATCAACTATGCTGTAACTGTTGTTCACTTCTCCTGTTCCCTTGTTTGCAAACATGTTATTAAACTCTGCTGATTTCAAGTAAAGTTTTGGGTAGTTCAATATACTATTATCTTTATCTTTATCTTTATTCAAATTTCTATACCGCCCTTCTCCTTTCGGACTCAGGGCGGTGAACAGCCAGAATAAAACATTTTATATACAAAAGTTAAAATAAATTTAAAATAATTAAATAAATTTGGCTCATTAATTTAAAACATTCCAATTAAAAGCCATATCAAGATTTATTAAAACCAATCATAAAATCAGGACAGCCCGGCTAACTGAAAAAAAATATGTTTTGAGGGCCCGACGAAAAGTCCGGAGGTCTGGGATCACTTGTATCTCTGGGGGTAGATTGTTCCAGAGGGTGGGTGCTACCACAGAGAAGGCTCTCCCCCTGTGGGTCGCCAGCCGACATTGCCTGGCCGACGGCACCCTGAGGAGGCCCTCTCTGTGGGAGCGAACTGTCCAGTGGGAGGCAATTGGTGGCAGGAGGCGGTCCCGTAGATACCCGGCCCTAAGCCATGGAGCGCTTTAAAGGTGATCACCAACACCTTGAAGCGCACTCGGAAGTCCACCGGGAGCCAATGCAGCTCGCGCAGGAGAGGAGTCACATGGGAGCGCCCCGTCGCTCCCATAATCCCCCGCGCGGCTGCATTCTGCACCAGTTGGAGCCTCCGGGTGCACCCCAAGGGGAGCCCCATGTAGAGAGCATTACAATAGTCCAGACGAGAGGTGACGAGCGCTTGAGTGACCGTGCGTAGGGAGTCCCGATCCAGAAAGGGGCGCAACTGGTGTATCAGGCGGACCTGATAGAAGGCCCCCTGGCCACGGCCATCATATGCCCTTCTAAAGACAGCTGTGCGTCCAGGAGGACACCCAAGTTGCGGGCCCCTTCCGTGGGGGCCAATGATTCACCCCAATAACCAGCGATGGCGCCAGCTGGCTATACCGGGACGCCGGCAGCCACAGCCACTCGGTCTTGGAAGGGTTGAGTCGGAGCCTGTTTCTCCCCATCCAGACCCGCACGGCCTCCAAGCACTGGGACATCACTTCCAAGGCATCGTTGGGATGGTCTGGGGTGGAGATGTACAGCTGAGTATCATCAACGTACTGATGGAACTCCACCCCAAAACCACGGATGATCTCACCCAGCGGCTTCACATAAATGTTGAACAGGAGGGGCGAGAGGACCGACCCTTGTGGCACCCCACAAACAAGGCGCCTCGGGGTCGACCACTGCCCCCGTCAACACAGATTGCGACCGGTCGAAGAGATAGGAGGAGAACCACCGCAGGATGGTGCCCCCACTCCCAGTCCCTCCAGCCAGCGCAACATGATACCATGGTCGATGGTATCAAAAGCCGCTGAGAGATCTAACAGGACCAGGATAGAGGAATAACCCCTACCCCGAGCCTTCCAGAAATCATCCACCAACGCGACCAATGCCGTTTCCGTGCTGTACCCAGGCCTGAAACTGGACTGGAGCGGATCCAAATAGACAGCTTCATCCAGGTACTGGGGAAGCTGTCGCGCCACCACACTCTCAACAACCTTCGCGATAAAACGAAGGTTGGAAACTGGACGAAAGTTAATCAAAACAGCCGGATCCAGGGAGGGCTTCTTGACGAGGGGCCTCACAACCGCCTCTTTCAAAGCGGCCGGCAGGACACCCTCACTCAAAGAGGCGTTAATAATCCCCTGGAGCCAGCTGGAGGGACACGGGTCCAATAAACATGTGGTCGCGTTCAGGTCCCAAGATCCTGTCCACGTCCTCGGGAGCCACAGGATCGAACTCCTCCCAGATAACACTCTCAAGGCCTGCCTCAGTCATCTCGTCTGAACTAACCCAGTCAGCGGCCAAATCTTCCCGAATCTGAGTTATTTTATCATACAGATACTGTACAAAATTCTCAGCTCGGCCCTGCTCGGAACTGTTTATCACACTTCCTTCCCTCCTTCCTATCGCTGTTCGAATTTTCCTTCCTTCCTTCTTTCCTCCTTCCTTCCTATCGCTGTTCGAATATTTCCTTCCTTCCTTCCAATCGATGTTCGGATGCTTCCCAAAATGTTCATTGTTCCTTCCTTTCTCTTTCCTTCCTATTGCTGTTCTAATCTTTCCTTCCGTCCTTCCTTCCTTCCAATCGATGTTCAAATGCTTCCCAAAATGTTCGTTTGTTCCCTCCTTTCTTCCTATTGCTGTTCGAATGTTTCCTTCCTTCCAATCAATGTTTGAATGCTTCCCAAAATGTTCGTTTGTTCCTCCTTCCTTCCTCCTTCTTTCTTATCACTGTTTGAATGTTTCCTTCCTTCCTTCCTTCCTTCCTTCCTTCCTTCCTTCCTTCCTTCCTTCCTTCCTATCAATGTTCAAATGCTTCCCAAAATGTTTGTTTGTTCCTTCCTTCCTTTCTTCCCTCCTTCCTTCCTTCCTATTGCTGTTCGAATGTTTCCTTCCTTCCTTCCTTCCTTCCTTCCTTCCTTCCTTCTTTCTTTCCTCCTTCCTTCCTATCGCTGTTCAAATATTTCCTTCCTTTCTTCCTTCCTTCCAATCGATGTTTGGATGCTTCCCAAAATGTTCATTTGTTCCCTCCTTTCTCTTTCCTTACTATTGTTGTTCTAATGTTTCCTTCCTTCCTTCCTTCCTTCCTTCCTTCCTTCCTTCCTTCCTTCCTTCCTTCCTTCCAATCGATGTTCAAATGCTTCCAAAATGTTCGTTTGTTCCTTCCTTCCTTCCCTCCTTCCTTCCAATTGCTGTTCGAATGTTTCCTTCCTTCCTTCCTTCCTTCCTTCCTTCCTTCCAATCAATGTTCGAATGCTTCCCAAAATGTTCGTTTGTTCCTTCCTTCCTTCCCTCCTTCTTTCCTATCCCCTCCTATCGCTGTTTGAACGTATGCTTCCTTCCTTCCTTCCTTCCTTCCTTCCTTCCTATCAATGTTCGAATGCTTCCCAAAATGTTCGCTTGTTCCTTCCTTCCTTCCCTCCTTCCTTCCTTCCCTCCTTCTTTCCTATCGCTGTTTGAATGTTTCCTTCCTTCCTTCCTTCCTATCAATGTTCGAATGCTTCCCAAAATGTTCGTTTGTTCCTTCCTTCCTTCCCTCCTTCTTTCCTATCGCTGTTTGAATGTTTCCTTCCTTCTTCCTTCCTATCAATGTTCGAATGCTTCCCAAAATGTTCGTTTGTTCCTTCCTTCCTTCCCTCCTTCCTTCCTATCGCTGTTCGAATGTTTCCTTCCTTCCTTCCTTCCTTCCTTCTTCCGATCGCCGTTCGAATGTTTCCTTCTTCTTCCTTCCTTCCTTCCTTCCTTCCTTCCTTCTTCCTTCCAATCAATGTTCGAATGCTTCCCAAAATGTTCGTTTGTTCCTTCCTTCCTTCCTCCTTCTTTCCTATCCCTCCTATCGCTGTTTGAACGTATGCTTCCTTCCTTCCTTCCTTCCTTCCTATCAATGTTCGAATGCTTCCCAAAATGTTCGCTTGTTCCTTCCTTCCTTCCCTCCTTCCTTCCTTCCCTCCTTCTTTCCTATCGCTGTTTGAATGTTTCCTTCCTTCTTCCTTCCTATCAATGTTCGAATGCTCCCAAAATGTTCGCTTGTTCCTTCCTTCCTTCCTTCCTTCCTTCCTTCCTCCTTCTTTCCTATCGCTGTTTGAATGTTTCCTTCCTTCCTTCCTATCAATGTTCGAATGCTTCCCAAAATGTTCGTTTGTTCCTTCCTTCCTTCCCTCCTTCCTTCCTATCGCTGTTCGAATGTTTCCTTCCTTCCTTCCTTCCTTCCTTCCTTCCTTCCTTCCTTCCTTCCTTCCTTCCGATCGCCGTTCGAATGTATCCCGTGTTGCCGTGAAACTAAGAATAAACCGTGTTTCTAGACACGCTTCCTCATGCTTTAATCATTTGGTCTGGACCAGGGCACCGAACCACAAACTAACCCTCACGCTTGGATCCGCGCATCCCGCGGCGCTAAAAACGAGACCGATTCCCTAGCAGTTCACCACCAAGTCAAGCGCTTCAATTAGCAGCCGTCCTGCCAGCCAGCCAGCTTTTCTCCTCCTCCTCCTCCTCCTCCTCTTCTTCCCGCTTCTGTTCTCCGCTTCAGCCGCCCGGGGCCTGCGGAAGGGCCAACCTCTCCCCCCTCCTCCGCTCGCAGGAGGCGGGTCTAGGCTCGGTGTAAATCGGTGCGGAGTTCAGTCGCGGCCTGGCAGGTTCGGGGAGGAAGAGAAAAAGGAAGGCTTTGTCATGGCTGCTCTGAGAGCCTGTCGGGTGAGAAGAAAGCTGGCCAAGAGGGGACAGGGGGTCTTAGGGGCATCGGGGGAGCATAGGGAGAGCGACTTCGGCTCGATCTTTCTGACTCTCCCCTGCCTTACTGGAGGGTGTGTCCGTTTGCAGAATTTGGGGGCAGCCGCCTGGGTTAGGGCTGGGGTGGAACTGGCTTGAGTTGTACTTTCCAGAGGAAAAGTCCAGGGATTGAAGAGGAGGGTCGTAAATCTCGGCTGCAGCCCGCAAGATGACAGTCATTGGTAGTCAATTGCGGAGGTGGGGGGGGGATCGAAGTGTCGTTGTATTATTATTATTATTATATACTTTGTTCATTAAACATGAAAGTCGGTCAACTGAACATTATTGTTGTTGTTGTTGTTGTTTGCAAAATTACGGGATATCGTATTAAAGTATGTCAAAGGTCGCCCCCCTTCTGTATTATCATTTGCAAAATTATGGGATATCATATTAAAGTATGTCAAAGGTCGCCTATCTGTCGCCCTCCTTCTGTCCACCCTGGTAAATTGACTCCAAAATCACGTCCCCACATTCTTTTAAACTTAAACATATAAGATGAACTTTTTGAAGCAGGTAGGCCAACTCTGTTGGCACAGCAAAAACAATAGTATTGTTTGCCATGGTCAACTGGGCTTCTGGTCAGAAACTTAGTCTCAGAATTATAAAGGTGTCTTGCTTTATCTAAAAATATATTTCTACATCATAAAAAAATTACCTGACCCCTGGTCAAAGTGTTTTTAGGATCTTATTTAAAAAGTTCATTTTTAAGTTTGTCAATTGGCATCTGTGATATGCTGTACAAAGTTCTTTCTTGCATGTAACAGCAAGGCTGCATTATTTTATCATTTAATACAGATTGTTACAGTGTCTGGGAGCCTTTGTAGTGTTTGAAAATATAAATGACAAATATATATTATAACAAGGGAAACCATTGTTCAAAATGATTGCAAACTTATATAAAAATATTTCTCTAGAAATTATTTGCAATACTTACCATATATAATGTGAAAGTTCTTTGGGTTTATGCCAGTCAGTACTGATGCTAATATAATATAAAGAATCATCAATCATTTGACATGATAATATATGTGTTTAATGTAGGCTAAAGTGTTCTGAACAGAGCAATTTAAGGTTGTGAAAGTAGAACATAAGGTAGTTAGTATATTACTGTCAACATTCCTGTTGCTTGACAATTTCCTTCTAAGAAGTCCCAGGAAATTAGATCAGGATCAGGTCATTTTTACCAGGGATCAGGTATTTTTTTGGGGGGGTCTTTATTTACTTCTGTGCAAATGTGCACAGATTTAGGAAACAAAACAATTACTGTGAATTTGAAAAACAAGTTATTTACCATAAGGAAAATTGGAATATGGAATAAGCCACAATAGAATGGTCCAAACAAAAACTATTGTGATAGTCCTGGAATAAGGTGACACTTTGATGCACTTTACGAGCATCAAAAAAAAAAAAAAGTGCCACAAGAAATCATTTCAAATCTTGCAGAACAAGATATCAAAGGTCTGCTATACAAATATATATCAAATTACAAATATAAATGATTTTTGTAACCAGTAACAAGTAATTAACAAAAAGCTTTGCTTTCTAGTTAATATTATACTTTAGATGTTCCAGGGAGTTACTTTCAGTTGTCTTATGTAAGACCTATTTTTGTTGTTCTTCAGGTTCGCTTTGCTTATGTGTACTCATTTTTTATTGAGCTAATTGTGCATTAAGTTGAATAGTTTGGGTTTATCCTTTACTTGCCATTTAATTTGCAGTTTATATACCAAGGCTGGATTCAAAAGACAAGATGTGAATTTAAGTTCATGTACTCTTGCACATTTCTGCTTTGCTGTCTATTCAGAGAAAATTAATTGAATCAAGGCCAATTTTGGGAAAGGTTTTGTAGTTTTAGGGGATGAAATTGATTTCTTCCAAGCTGCCAAAAATGAAAAGTGAACCTTTGGTTGCTAATAGAAAAAGATTTCTGGTCTAAAATAAGGCACTTGACTTTCTGTTGAGTTCCTTCATTCTTATTAACATTTCAGATATCATGCCTAAAATTATTATTACATATTTAATATCTAAGGGGTAATAATTATTTTCCCCAAATTATCTTGTTCATCTCAAATTATGGCATCATTTTGCAGTCTTTACTGCAAGCGATGAGTTAATGTACTTAATTTTTTGCTCAATAAATTATTGCTTTTGCTTTACTTATATAGCACTTAGAACAAGAGCACTTAGACTTATATACCGTTTCATAGTACTTTACAGCACTAAGTCAGGAGTGTCAAACTCAAGGCCCACGGGCCAGATTTGACCCACAGGGTGCTTAGATCTGACCTGCGGGGCCACCCTGGAAACAGTGAAGGACCGGTCCGCGGAGCCTCTGCCAGCCCTCCTGGGCTCTTTTTTTGGCTACAATGGCTTCATGCAGCCCTCTGCTAAGGGAAATGGAGCCTGGGAGGGCCGCGCGCAGGCTCCATTTTCGCTGGTAGAGGGCTGCAGGAAGCAGTCGCAATCAAAAACGGAGCCCGGCTCCATTTTCGCTGGCAGAGGGCTGCAGGACATCGAGCTGGCTATGCCTAGCCCAGCCATGCCCACTCGGTCCCCTGAGGTCAAATACAACCCTGATGCGGCCCTCAATGAAATCGAGTTTGACACCCCTGCTCTAAGTGGTTTACAGAGTCAGCCTATTGCCCCCAACAATCTGGGTCTTCATTTTATTGAAGAAGAATGGAAGCCTGAGTCTACCTTCAGCTGGTCATGATCGAACTCCTGGTAGCAGGCAGAGTCAGCCTGCAATACTGCATTCTATCCACTGGGCCACCATGGCTCCTATATCTTAGATTTCATTTGCATTTTTTCTTTCCATTTGATTCTTAATAAAATAATTTTTATTTTTTATTTATTTAATTTCTATGCCACCCATCTCACTGTCCAGTAACTTTTATAACCTTAAAATAGTATTGCAGTTTCTTACGTTGATTTATAATAACTGAATATTTGAAGAACCTTTTACATAAATTTCCCTTTTAAGGATTCTTTCTTAACAATTTTTCTGTTTGATTTTTTAAAAATTCCTTATTTGCATTAACTATTGTGTAACTGCAACTTGTTTAATACTTTCTTCGTCCTTTTTTCAGTATTAGCACAAAAAGTTGTTTTCATGTTTGGTCTTTTTAAGTCCTATCTATTGACTATATTACTAAGCATAGTACATGGACTATGCATATACTATGAAACAATAATTAGTAAAACATTGACTTTGACTTTGCTGGGTCACAGTTACAAACAAAGTAACTACAACTACTGTGAGCCATCAAAAAAAAAATTAACAAAGAACCAGCATTCGGAGTCCTTGATGCTCTCTGAGCTTGGTTGTTTGCTTACAAGTATTTCATTACTGACTGCAATGAAGAATAACATGAGGTAACATGCTAGTGGGTGTGATGTTTGTTCCTTGTTTATATACACTAGCTTGCCCTGAGAGTATTGATAGGGGTGTAGTTTTCTCCTTGATAGTTCCTTAATTGTTTTCTGCTTGTAGTTCCTTAATTGTTTTCTGCTTCTTTGTTTGATATAAATTCTTGCTTATCTGGATGTTGGTTGCCGGAGAAGATGTGTTCTTTTTGTTTCCTTCTTAGCTTTTTTTTATTGACCCCTTAGAATGGTATGTAAATGTGCTTTATGTGTCTACAGAAATTCTTCAATTTACAGTCACAATTGGGACCGGAACTTCTGTCACTAAGCAATGTGATCATTAAGTGAGTCAGTTATTCAGCGAATTATGCTGTGGCTTCTCACATTGATTTTCCTTCTTGAAAGCCAGCTGCAAAGGTTGCAAGTGGTGATCCTGTGTCCTCAGGATTCTGCAACCAATATAAATACATGCTGGTTGCCAAGCATCCAAATCATGATTGTGTTTTCGGATACCGTAACAATCATAAGTTCAAGGACTAGTCATAAATTACTTTTTCCAGCATTTTCATAACTTTGAAGGGTTGCTAAACAAATGGTTGTAAATTGAGAACTACTTGTATGGACGGCTGATTTGTTTATATGCCAAGTTTCCAAGAATTCTCTGGCATTTTTGGATTTAGTTGGTCTATTTCTACCCATGTGTTATGAGATTAAGGACTTTGCATCATATCTTTTATTTGCCAGTTGGTGCTCTCTGCTAGTCTTCTGCCTGTCTGGCCTACATAGTGTCTGTTACAGTGTATGCTGTAGATAAAGAAACCACTGTATTTTAAAGAATGCTTCATTTCTTTAGACAGTAGTCTAACAGTAAACAGTAACGTTTTGTACTCTTTATAACAGTAAAACAAATATTCTTATATTCTTTTTCTTTTTTACTTTAGATTGTATTCATATTATTTATGTTTAATAATTGACATATGGAATTTTTAACCATCTCTGGGATAAAAATTGTATTTCGTTAAATATGTTGGACTCTATATCCTTGTGATGTTTATGCATTGGTGCATTATGTTTATGCATTGGTTTATACATTATGCACTTCTGTGACACTTGGCTTTTTTTCTACATTAAATTTCAGGTTGGGCGAAGCATTGTTGCTTGTGGCTTGAGAGCACAATCCAGTCATGCTACTGCAACATCACCAAAAAGCAAATCGGCTGCTGGTTATAGCTTTGGTATGTAAAAATGCTCCATAATGCTTCACATGAAGGCCCTGAATTGGCAGCTTCTAGTATTATAAATCTAAATTAATTCATTTTGTCATTGTTTGCTATGTACTTTGTGAGCATATTTGCTATACATATATATTATATGAGCATATGCAGGCATGTTCTGATACATCCACTTTTTTCTTATGAAACATACATCAGCCTAGGAAAAAAAGGATAGAATATTTATATAGGATAAACTCTGAATACATAAGGCTGAAATGTATTCCTTTTTGGACATTTTATTCACCTGTATTACCTAATGTGCATTATCTACTGCAGCTTGTTAAGAAGCATTTGCAGTTTTTAGATTGAGTGGAAGCCATTTGTAATGAAAGATAATACATTCCCTGAATTACTTGAAATGCTTCAAAACTATACTTGGTTTATGGACAATTACTACCGGTATGTAGGGCAGACTCTTAACACATGCTCCTTTAAGGGTTAACATTGGCACATACATATTTCCATATATGTGTTTTACACATGACTTGGGGTAGAAAAAGTTTTGGATTGATATTTGTGGGTGAAGAAAAATAGTAAGTGTATATTTTAGTAGATGGGATATGGGATGCATACAGTTAAGGATGATAGTGAAGAAAGTATTTCATGTAGATTAGTCTGCACATTTTCCCAATTCCAGTCCTAGTTTAGGCATGAAAGCCAGCTGGGTGATCTTGGCCAATCACTCTCTTTCACCTTACCATTCACCTTTTGGGGAAAGTGGGAGAAGAAACGAGTATTATGTACGGTATGTTTGTTACCTTGAGTTATTTTTAAAATAATAAAGATAGGCTTTAAAAAACAATCAAATAAATAAATATGTTATGCCCTACTAATTTTTTATGCTTATTTGGGAACTTGAAATCTTATGTTTTCTAGAACTTACTGATGAACAGAAGGAATTTCAAGCTACAGCTCGTAAATTTGCTAGAGAAGAAATCATACCTGTTGCTTCTCACTATGATGTAACTGGAGAGGTAGATATACAATAAATAGTAGGGGAAGACCAGGTTTAAAATTTCAGTGAATAAGACCCTAAGCAGAGGAGCTCTGCATAATATTTCTTGTGTCTGTTTCCTTTTTAGTATCCTGTTCCTCTCATTAAAAGGGCATGGGAGCTTGGCTTGATGAATACACACATACCAGAAAGTTCTGGTAAGTAAAATACTTTATAAGCTATAAAACCAAATAAACAGTGAAATGTATGTATTAGCAATAACAACACTAAAGATATTACAGTCCAATCTGATTTTGAATATATGAGATAGGAATGTGTCTTGAAGAGATGTTATATAACATGTTACAGATGATATGTAAATATGTGAATTGACCTCATTCTGTGGTTATTCTGTTGAGCTCAAACTGTTTCTCTCCTACAATTATTAATTATAAATACAATTATTGAATACAATTAGTATTCATTATATTCTTTGATACTGTATTTAAATTGGAAAGATTTAAAAGATAGTATATTTATAAATCTTTTTAAAACCCATAGAATTAAATCTGTTATCTTTTGTGTGTGTGAAGGGCAGTATTCAGAATATATCAAATTTAGCATATCTGTTGCTTAATGTACAACCCCTTTATTTGTAAACTGTATTTGTAAATACATAAACAGTAATAAAAATCATTTTCTGCTCAATGTACACATTTATGATCAAATTTCATGACCTGACAACAAAAAGCTTCAGTGTGAAACTGATTAATGTCTAGTGAGTTTCAGGCAACAGTAAGAGTTCTAATCAACTAATTAAAGTCAGAATGGAACTTGTTAACACATTTTAGGGAAGATCTGGGCTGCAAGGAAAAGCAGCTCAGGAAAAGATAGCTTGGTTAAGCAATTGCTCCATTCTGCAAGGGGGCAACAAAAAAGGAGGGGGGATGGATTAAACACGGAGTAACTTTATCTGAATGACCAGCAACAACCAGGAATTTTGCAGGGTGTTTTTCTCTCTCTCCCCCTCTGTCACTTGTTCATTTAGCAGCCATTTTGCTTAAGTTGCTGGAATGGCTTCCATCACTAAATCAGAAGAGGGTGCAATAAAACATAAAATAATTAACTTTGTGACATAACATTTATTTGTGTGGAATATTATTTGTTGTCCAAAACAATTTTTGTAGGTGGTCTTGGCCTTGGCACTTTTGATGCCTGCCTTATTACTGAAGAATTGGCTTATGGATGTACAGGAGTTCAAACAGCTATTGAGGCAAATTCCCTAGGTGTAAGTGTTTTGCTTTAATTGTACTTATTATTTACATTATTTTAACATTAGCATTAGGCTCTGTCTTCCCATGTTAAACAATGAATTTTTTTGTTACAGCAAATGCCAGTTATAATTGGGGGAAATGAGCAACAGCAGAAAAAATATTTAGGAAGAATGACTGAAGAGCCCATAATGTGTGTAAGTGTTTTTGCAATATTGATAAATGTTATTTTGATTTCCATCGTGAAAGAAATCTACAAAAGTGTATTATGTTTTGTTATACTTATGTCATAGTATGTCATAGTATGTTATGTTATTATTCAGGGTAATACATTGAACTTCAACAATATAATTTAACAGTAATAAAAATATTTATGTGAGCATGAAGTCATACCTTGCTATAATAATTACCGAATTCACTACAGTACTAACGTAAATGAACATCTGTTGTGTTTACACATAGTAGAAATGGCAGTTGTTCATTTAGACTCAGTAATGTCTAAAATTGGGTGGGTCAGTGATAAAATAAATAGGCAATTTGTGGTCTTGATTCAGGAAAATACACACACACACACACAGAGTTTTAATGGGTGCAGTGTATAGAGTTCATTTCATAAGATGGTTCTGCATATTCTCAAGAATTTAAATATGAATTGGTATCAATCTTCGTGATGAATAAAGCAATATACACATTTAGCAATAAAACAGTGATGTTTCATTAGGATTTCTTTGTATTCTCAGTAGTTCTCCACAATTTAAAAGTTTTCATAATTTTAAGTTATTAATTTCTTTATCAATAAAATTATAATGAAAGTTAACCAAATTACTGATGATTTTGTATCATGTTCATTTAGAATTGCCGGACTTAATGCTCATTCTTCAAATTTTAGTATGTGTAGTACTGTATAGTTTGTAATTTGATGTTTTGAATTTTCTTCTTTAAGGCATATTGTGTAACAGAACCTGGTGCAGGCTCTGATGTAGCAAGTATAAAGACAAGAGCTGAAAAGAAAGGAGATGAATATATTATTAATGGACAAAAAATGTGGATCACCAATGGTGGCAAAGCTAATTGGTATAGCAATTTATTTAAGCTATTTAAATAAGGCTCAGTTATACAGTATGTCCCTAACATTTTTTTTAGGAAAATGTTACTACTATATATTTATATTTTCAGTGCTGGTCATAATTCAGATAAAAACATTTAAATGTGCAAAAACAATTTTTCAACAGTATTTTCATTCTTGTATCACACTTGTATCTTTCTATAACCAAGCAATAGAATGTTTGAACCTGAATGATGTGCTATTATTACATACCAATTTTTATCCCATTCATTTGGTCAACAGTATTATTTCCCTAATTCTAAATCATAAGTCATTAATTTATTTAGGGGAAAAAAAAGAGAAGAATTCAGTAGATGAGTGTGGGCTAAAAAGAAGATAAATTTGTAGAAGCGAAGTCATTCCTTCACCCAGAATCAATGTATAATACTGACATATCTAATTTTATGTATGAATTGAAATTTAGAATCAAAATCATATTAAGATCTACTGAATTTATTGGGGCATGTGTCTGAATAAAAACAAAGGATTATGCTATAAGAATGTACTATCTTTTCATGAGAAATGTGTGATCAGTATTTTTTATGCTATAAGAAAGCTATAAGATAGTTAATGGTTTCTGATGGCCTGTGAGCAAATTTGTAAAATTGTGGTTTTATTATGTTCCAATTAGGTATTTTTTATTGGCACGTTCCAATCCTGATCCAAAAGCTCCAGCAAGTAAAGCTTTTACTGGATTTATTGTGGAAGCTGACAGCCCTGGAATTCAGATTGGAAGAAAGGTAGAAGTGGAACATCTTAATGCTAATTTGAAAATTTGGTATTGGCTCTTCTTAGTTAATAGTTAAGAAATTATTGGCTATAAAATATATATAATAAAATATTCTTGCAGTAGTGAGCTTGTATAAAGCTAATTGGATATTCTTTGTGGGAATATAGGGTTTAGTGAAATGTAATAAAAATAGTACTTGGAAAGGAAATCAAGCTTTTAGAATTTGTTCCATTCTGTTATAAACCATTTCCCGAAATTGTTCAGCTTTGTGACATTGCCACCAAATATAGGCCCAAATCTGATTTCTAAATTTTTTTTATTGAATTTATTTTTAATATATGTGTAAGAACAAATACATAGTGGGAGGAACAGGTTTTAATCTTAGCTTTCTGATGAACCTACTTCAGTTTTGTTGAATTAAAAATAAAGTTTTCATGGTAATTATTTATCATACAAAATTCCTTTTCAGGAGCTTAACATGGGCCAGCGCTGTTCAGATACGAGAGGGATTGTTTTTGAGGATGTAAGAGTACCCAAAGAAAACGTACTTATTGGTGAAGGAGCTGGCTTTAAAATTGCCATGGGAGCTTTTGATAAAACAAGACCTCCGGTAAGTATTTAAAGTACATTCGAAAGAGGAATTCTAATTGTAGAACTTCTGCTTTGTAATATTTATTACTGATCTACAGGTAGCAGCTGGTGCTGTTGGATTAGCACAGAGAGCTTTGGATGAAGCCACAAAATATGCTATGGAAAGAAAAACATTTGGGAAGGCCATTGCAGAGGTATGTGGAATTCCAACTACAGATGTAATATGGTATGAAATCAAACATTCCATTTATAAATTTAAGCTTAATTAGACTTCCTTTTTTCTTGCCCTGTTCCTCACCCTTTATCATCTTGTGGATTTTGAGTATAGATAGAGCAATGTTTTTCAACTTTGTCAACTTTAAGCTATGTGGATTTCAACTCCCAGAATTCGCCAGTCAGCCTTGGGAACTCTGGGAGCTGAAGCCTACGCAGCTTAAAGTTGCCAAAGTTGGGAAACACTGGTGTAAAGAGTTAACAAGGAAGAACCATACCATTTAGTGGAACATGTTTCTGCTAATGGAAGCACATATTTGAATTGTTGTAGTTTGTAGGAGGCATATTTCAAATATATTTTTTTCACAGAGTGCTTATAGAGTCTTGCATTTGGAAATTTTCAATAATCCAAAAGTCTCATTAAAATCACAATAATGTCACAATAACAAAAGATTACAAAAATAATAACAATAACAAAATATTCAATCACAATCACAAAATATACAGTTTGTTTTACCAGACTCCACTTACTGTAGATGAAGAGAATCTTGTGTGGTATAAGAAATTTAAAAATGGCTTCCCTTGTTACTTAAGTTACTAGGCCTGTGTATTGTATACCTGCTGATACTGCCATATGTTACATTGTATGTTTCATCTGAAATAGTGGTAGGTAAATTGTTGGTCTCCGGCAACCGTGGGTCAATGGTTAAGGGTGGCGAACATTGCAATGCAACATCCGGGAAGGAAGCATACTACTTATCCCTTTACAGAGTCACTCATATTTGTATTGTGCTTGTTGTTTATTAACGTATGTTTTATGCATATTGAACAATAAGCCATTTAAGGACTTTCTTGTGGAGTCCTTGGTGCCCTTGAGCTTGGTTGTTTTCTTGCAGACATTTCATTACCCAACTAGGTAACATCAGTGCTAGCTTACCCTAGTTGTGAATGAAATATCTGCAACAAAGCAACTAAGCTCGGAGAGCACCAAGCTACAAATATTCTCTTCTATCAGCAAAGGGTTTCTTGTTAAACCAGAACATAAGAAGTCTACTGCCCAGAGTCGCAGAGTGACATATAATAAATAAATAAGACTGAATTGTGTATACTGTTTAAATACACACTACCATTGCATATTTGGAAGTTAAGTTTTCAAGACTAACTTTTACCTCTCCCTCAAACAATTCCAGCACCAAGCAGTGTCCTTCATGTTAGCTGAAATGGCACTGAAAGTGGAACTGTCTCGCCTGGCCTACCAGAGGGCAGCATGGGAGGTAGATGTTGGTCGTAGAAATACCTATTATGCCTCCATAGCCAAGGCATATGCGGGAGACATTGCAAATCAAGTAGCTGCTGATGCTGTCCAAATTTTTGGAGGAAATGGATTCAATAGTGAATATCCAGTAGAAAAACTAATGAGAGATGCAAAAATATACCAGGTAAGTAATCTTAGTCAATAGCATTAGTATATTTAAGCTAAATTTACATTTATATAATGCTAAAGAAAATGTGCCTTTTTTGATTGATCTGCATGTAGGCACTCTGAATCAATAAGACTCATGGCAGCTATTCTATTGCCCTCTGAAAGCATGTAATATTATTTTTAATGGAAGGTTTAATATGCTCTTTTTATTCTTTTTAATTAGTCAGAATGTTTTTCTTATTTCTATTAACTAATTGTAGACTTAGTAATACAACAGATTTTATCATAGCATTGAATAGCAAATAGCACTTAGACTTGCATACCGCTTCACAGTGCTTTAAGCTCTTAGCGGTTTATAGAGTCAGCATATTGCCCCAACAATCTGATTCCTCATTTTACTGACCATGGGAGGATGGAAGGCTAAGCCAATCTTGAGACGGTGAACTCGAATTGCCAAACTGATGGCAGCCAGCAGTCAGCAGAAGTAGCCTGCAGTACTGCATTCTAACCACTGTGCACCACTACGGAATAAAGAAAAGGCAGTTTTTATATGGAGGAAAATGTAGAGTTTAGCTTGAAAGTATGTCCATTTGTTGTACTCACTTCTGGTCCCATAAGAGTTGCTGGAAAGTAATCTTATCTCATTCAGTAGTATAGGTAGTCCTCACTTAATGACCACAACTGAGACTGGCAACTCCATCATTAAGCAACATGGTTGTTAAGCGAAATATCTTATGACCATGTTGGTTTTATTATGGCAATTCAGCTTCAGTCATAAAGTAAACCACTGTGGTTGTTAAGCAAGACACCACATGACCACGACTTGTGGTTTTATTACCCACTTCTCCACTAACTCTCCTTGTTGGAAGTCCAACTCAAATAGCAATCACATAACTATGAAACACTGCAATGATTGTAAAATGTGTACCGGTTGCAAAGCACTCAACTAGTACTCAACCGCGGGGATACCATGTCACTTGCAAATTCAAGGACCAATTGTAAAGTTACTTTTTAAGTGCTGTCATAACTTCAAACAGTCATTAAAAAGATCACTTGCTAAGGACTACCTGTATGTATTTCCAAGTTGAAACATATAACATTGCTGTTTCTGACTTAAATACACCACTTCTTGGTGACTATTTTTCATCCTGTGTTTTACTTTGCTGAGGTGTTGCAGTGTTTTGTTTAATAATAATTTCTATAATATGTAGCAATGCAGTTTTTAAATGTATAGGTGCAGATTTCATCATACCTGCTTGTTACATATTTTCACATTAGCCAATAATTAATTAAACTTAAATAGTTTTATACAGAATAGGGATTTTAAGTGTGACGTGCCATGGGAGCCTATTATTCAGAAGAAAAAGACAAACATCCTGGTAGCTCTAGGTTCAGGTTTAATCAAAAGTAGCTCTTTGGACTATCAAGTTTAGATTTTTGTTCTCTCGTGTTTATTAACACAATTATGCATTTATAATAATTTTTACACATTACCCATCATAATTTAAGATACACTGTTTTCTTGAACATTTTGTCTATCGTAATCCTATTTTAAATTGACTTAAAACACTATCATATATTTTCTCTTTTCAGATTTATGAAGGAACAGCTCAAATTCAGAGAATAATTATAGTTCGTGAACATATTGGCAAGTTTAAAGCTTGAGAATGTCCCTGATGTACATTAGCTTGATTTACAAATGTTGGGCTTTTTTTCTCTGGTGCTTTACTTTTAATATTGGACAAAAATGGCATCAACAATGGTATTGTCAAAACCTAATACATGAAAAAGCTAGTCACTTAATTTCTAGAACTATCCAAGAGTTTTCACATTTTTGTTCAGCTTTATCATGACATGGTTATCTCTGTTCTTTGAAATCTCTATAGTGTATTTAAAGTGCCTTGGATTTTTGTAATTGAACAGGTCACTGACATAAATTAGATGAAGAATTTCATACCAAATTGAAGTCTGGAAGCCATGTGTAAATTAGATGTTGTTAGATCTGCATTGCAGCATTACTACGTATTACATATTGACTAGATTAAAATATTTTTCTAGATAAATTAGTTTTATTGCCTGCAGTTGGATTCATAAAGGCTATAGAAGTTATTTTTGTTTTACAGAGCAGAATGAAATTTAATGAAAGTTCCTTGCTGAAAGATGCAAAAAAAAATCTGTCCCAATTTCCTTTCCCATGCCTTAACTCCACTGTTTGGAGTCTACTTCAATTCCCTGGGATAAATTTTTGAGGATGTTGTAAAAGAAGAAGACAGATAATGGTGCCTTAAATGTTATGGTATTCCTTGACAGATATTCCTTGATCTATGACCATTCAATCAACAATTCCAAGTTACAGTGCCAGGTAACGAATGGTGGTTACAACTAGTTCTTGGAGTTTTGGTCATCCTAGCACCCTGCTAGTCACGTGATTACAATCTGGGTGCTTGACAAGCAATTCACACTTACAGCCAGTTGACATGCAACCCACAATCATGATTGCCACTTGCAATCTTTCTTGCTGGCTTCCCCAGGCCAATGGGGAAGCTAGAAGGAAAGATTGCAAGTTGCTGAGCTAAGTGTTTCTTATCACACAGTCTTCCAGCCTCTCTGCACTCACTTCGCATTATCCACTCACCCTCTGATTCATACCCCTGTGAACACCCCCTGACCTGCATGACACTTTGTGCACTCTCACCAACCCTCATGGTACCTCTCACATACTGTTCCTGACCCATGCAACATCCTAACCCCCTCACATCAAATCATTTGAGAACACAAACTCCTGTCACAATTGCTGTTGCAAGGACTATCTATACCAGGGATGTCAAACAGGCTGCAGGCCAGATGCATTATGCGCTGGCCACGCCCACCCCATTTTATCCAAAGGGGGCGGGAAGTTGCGATATGTCACGTGACAACGTGAGTTTGACATCCCTGATCTATACTCAAATATGATAAAAGATAGTCATGCAATGCAATTTTCCCCTAATAATTTTATTACATTTTTTTTTTTAATTTGATTTATATGCCGCCCTTCTCCGGAGACTCAGAGCGACTTACAATGCGTTAAGCAATAGCCTTTGCAGTATTCAATATTTGCAGTATTCTTATGAGCTGTAGTTTCAAATTACTAGTAAGCCAAAATTCTATATGCCTAAATATGACCTTTTTTATTATAATGGGTGTATATAGTTATTTTGGTATTGAAACTGAGACATCGGATTCACGTTAAGCCTTATGTGTCCTAAAGTATGTTAACCTGTCTTCCCACAAAGAGATGAAAGTTTATTTAAATAGCAAAACCAAATGAACAAGTTTAAAAAAAACATCTTTGGGCTGTGAGCTTCATTTTATTTCTCCAATATAACATTATGTGCTAATGTTCATTTTTTCCTCTCTCTTCTCCCACCCTTCACAACCCCTAGATCTACTTTAAGGGTCCTCATTTATTTTTGAGAGAAGTGAAAGAAACCTCATCATACCAGTGTTAATCTGTAAAATAACATTAAATTTATAACAGGAACACTAATATTATATGCATAAGTTATGTTTGCAGAGCTATACAAGCACTGAAAGTATTTTCTTATATAGCCTCTTTGCCTCTAGTCTGGAACAGCCTGCTTCCTGTTCATTGCGGACATTAGCACAACAATCTATGCTGAATTAAGACTATTTGGAAGAAGATTGCCATTGTTTTATTTTGGAAAATGCCATAAAATCTCCTGATTGAACTTTTTTTTGTACAGTATTACCTCCCATCTATTGCATTTGGCCATGGGGGGAAGGAAAAAGTAACTTGCTGCTGAAGACAGCAAGTTTTGTATAGCTTTTCCTCCCCTTGGTAGCAGGGGTGAAATCTACTTACCTTTCTTACGGTTTTGGAAGTGCATGCGCCACGCGTCACATGTGCATCACTGCACACATCACGTGCGCGTGCAGACCCTCTTCACATGTGCAAAACCTCCTGCGTATGCACAGAGAGTAAAAAACACATTACTTCCTGGTTAAAACTAGGAAGTAATGACACCCAGGTGGGTGGGCGGAGCCTCGTGCCGCCATCGCTACCGGTTCTCTGGACTACCTGCCACAATCGCTACCGGATCACCCAATCGGGTCCGAATCAGGAGCATTTCACCCCTGCTTGGTAGGGGTTCAATCTGGGGAATATGAACCTTGTGGAATATCTCATTTTTTTGATCAGATAGCAGTACACAATATTTATTGTCACCCAGATCTGAAAAGTGCCCAGGCTAAGTGCAGATTGTTCACTTTGCCTCTTTCTATTGGCTGTTTGTCTGCCCTACCAACGAAGCCATCATTGGTATTCCAATAGCTGCAATAACTACTATTGTTGTGAGGGCAGCAACACTGCAGAATTTGATGTGGAGCCAAAGTAGAAAACACAATGGAGACACCGATTTTCAGAAGACATATTTTCCCCCCTTTCCAGAATAGGATGGAGAGGGTAACAGTGGTTTTGAATATCCTCCCCAGTGGTGGTATTCAGCCGGTTCTATCCAGTTCAGGCAAACCGGTAATGGTGGCTGCAGGAGGCCCTGCCCACCCGCCCGAACATCATCACGTCCCATTTTTGACACCCCACGCGCTCACATTTGTGAACCGGTAGCGAAGGTAAGTGAATACCACCCCTGGTCCTCCCTGTGTACTCAGTTTGCCTAATAGTGGAGTGGTAGAGTCCAAATTCTTCAAAAATAGTTTTGTCACCTTTTCCAGGCTGAGTGTCAGCAGCTGGTTTTCAGAGATCCTCAGAACTCGTTCTTCCAGCTGTGACACAATTCTGTATACCTGTGTTGTGAAGATCTCACTTTTGATAGTGAAGAACCTGAATCTTCTCTTGAACTAAGGCCAGGACCTCCCACACTCACACCTGATTATCATCCCATTAATTGAAAAACCTGCTAATTTCACCATCAAATGAGGGTGAGGTTTAAATACTTTTGCCACACAGAAATATGTACCTTTGGATCATTTTCTTCAATAAATGAACAAGTCTGCTTTTGAGTCCTTTGTTTAATTTGCTTTTCTAATTGTAGGACTTCTATGGAGAACAAACCACGTTTTAAGTTATATTTATATAGGTAAAATCACTTTCATTTCCTTTTGGCATTTTAAGAAAATAATCTTGTACGATTCAACTTTAAGTGCCCAATGTGATCTCTCTTAAACCGTGTCTTAAGGTATATTAGCAGAGGAACTAATACAGTCTTTTGCAGTAGGTTTTTAATTCCTTATAATTTTTTGGAGTTAATATAAGATTGTAGAACTTTTGATAACTACAATCACCAGTTCCTCAAATTAATCTCAAAACCGAGAAGGTGGGAATCAGGAATAGAGCAAAAGCAAGTACAGTTGTTCTTGACTTTCAGCAGTACATTTAGTGACCATTTTCAAAGTTCCAACAGAACTGAAAAAGGTGACTGATGACCGTTTTTCACTCTTGCAACCGTTCCAGTATCCCCATGTTCAAGTGATCAAAATTCGGATGCTTGGCAACTGGTTCATATTTATGATAGTTGCAGTGTCCTGATCCTCCTTTACAACCTTTTGACAAAGTCAACGGAGAAGCCAGATTCATTTAACCACCCTGATACTAACTTAATAACTGCAGTGATTCACTTAAAAGTCGTAAAATGGGGAAAATTTCACTTAACAAATGAAATCAATTTCCCAAAGAGAAATTTTGGTCTTGATCACGGTCATTAAATCGATAACTACCTGTAAAGAAGACACGAAACACCCCCACCCCCACCAATATCTACTTTTTATAAACGGGATCTCCAAACTTGGCAACTTTAAGACTTGTGGACTTCAATTCCCAGAATGCCTCAGCCTCAGCAAAGCTGGCTGAGGAATTCTGGGAGTTGAAGTCCACAAGTCTTAAAGTCGCCAAGTTTGGAGATCCCTGTTCTATAAACAACAGGAACTAGATAAGATTATTAAACGAAATTGATAACTCCGCCCCCCCCCCACGTAGTGTTCTCTGAGTATAAAACAGAACCTCTCGGAATAATTTCTTTAAATGGAAAAAAGCACCAAAATCAATAAGTAGTTTTCTCCGAACGGCTGTTGGTTAAACAACAACAAGAAGAATTTTTTTTTTTTAAAAAAACAACTTTTCTCCGTACTGGCAATTCTTAGCCAGCTCTAGCGGATCCATTCGGGACCCGGGACGGTAATCGACTTCTTTTTCCTGGTGAGCTATGCGCATGCGCCTGGGAGTCACGTGAGCGGGTATCGCCGATGTACCATTATGGTGAGTGTCCGCTTCCTTTTCCCGCTCTTGCCGCTTTTCGCGCCCTCGCTGCTCCTCCCGCCTCTCCCTTCCTCCTCCCCCCCCTCTTCTGCTCCTTTTCTCGGGGAGGGCAAATAGTCGGCGGAGCCCCTTTGTTAGGCCCGTCGGCCATTCCGCGGAAGGTTGGAGGCTGAGGCCGAGATGGTAGGAAGGGGGAAGCAGCGTGGGGGTGGAAGGAAAAAAAAACCCTTTTCGCGGTATTTGGCTACTGGGGGGGGAGAGGAAGAAAACCCCCCCCCGGAATTTATATTTTCTGGCGGGTGAGAAATTGGTCATGGCTGCTTAGGGGAGCCACGTTTCTCAGCTACCCGTTTTCCCAAGTGCCATTTCTTTCCCCCTCCGACATAATCTTCTGAAAAAGGCTTATCCGTCATGGTAATAATGGATGATTAAATTGAAAATGCAGCGCGCTTTCCTTTATAGTCCAAGTCGTAGCCCCCAGCTATTTGCGAGATACCGTGGCAACTTCCCGTGAATTTCTTGCTGGGTGAGTATAGCAATGTTTATAGGGCAGGAACTTCTCTCTGTTTGAAATATATATATATATATATATGATAGGTAGATAGGTAGATATATATTTATATTTCCCATATATATATATCTACCTACCTACCTAGGATGTGAACGTTCAGGTTATGCAAAAGCCAAAAGGTAGTATGTAGCTTAAGCAATTGCTTTGATAACTTGTGCTTTTTTATTCTGGTTTAAAAAGAAAAGTCTTGGCGATCTTCGGATTAAATCCTAAACTTCTCGATTTGCTGGGCATGTTTTTTTTTTTTTTAAACCCTCTTCAACCACAAAATCGTTAAGTAGAAAGTGGAGCGCCACGTGCTTAACTTCAGAATTTAAAATGGCAAGAGTCAAAGGAGTTTACCGTGCTTTTTTTACAAACAGCATCAAGAGCAAGAACTAAAATGAGATGATTAAAATGCATGTCCCTTGAGAAAAATTTAACTGAGCAAGATAGTATTTTTTAAAAAACTAAAAGAAGCAACCAATGGCAAATCAACATCCTTTCATTCATTAACTAGGCAGCCATCTTTGGGGAGGGACAGTTTAACCTTTATGAACATGGCATAGTTCTCTGTTGCTGACAGATTTATACTTATATTTCTGGCTTTAAAGTTTGGCTCTATAGTGTCATTGATATTTTCTCAAGAGCAAATTTCTAAATTTTTCCGCCTGTAGAAAATACGTAAAGTACATAGTAAAATCTACATCATTTCTGTATCCAGATTTTTTTGTACTTCTATGAATATTAGCATTTTTAAATTTAGTTTACTGACTGTAATAATATATGCAATTCATTGTTTCGACATAAGTTGGGAAACTGCATTATGTATTTGATTGCAACAGTTTTTTGATGAGTTTTACCATATAATTTTTAAGGGAACACCACAAAAAGATGTCATAATAAAAAATGATGCTCCATCAACATTACTGTTAGAGAAGCATGCAGACTACATCGCTGCTTATGGAACGAAGAAAGATGATTATGTGAGTATTCTGTTAACATAAATTGTATTTATTTAGCTCTCTACAGAACATGTAAATATATATGGAATATAGAAGGGGTTTTCTTTTAATATTTAATGTTAAGTTTTTATGGTGGACCTCTACCCTATGAGGCAACTCTAATAAACATTGCAGATGGTTTCTTTAGGTCAATGATGTAATCTGGCATGTATTATCTGACTTCAGAGCTGTAGAAGTCTCTTTAGAATGACACTGAGACCTAAAAAGTCCACTTTTATATTAATTGAATGTATTTTTATGTTTAATACTTATTACTTGTTTTCAAATGTTCTTTGTTTGCTTAAAAATTTGGAACAAAGTAATATGCTACTTTAGCCCATTATAATGCTTAATTATAGGCAATATCAGCCCATGATAGCCAAAATCTTTCCAGGCTAACAGATTTTATTAAAAGGCATAAGCTTTGGGGAACCACAACTCATTTAATCAGATGCATGGAGTAATTAAACTGATGTAGATTTAAATTGGATGGGATGGGGGATGGATGAGGAGGGAAAGACAGGATAATTATACAAATGGCGATATGAGACAGACTACCAGTACTTAGCATTTAACAATTGTCAGTTGTAAGGATTTATATATTCAGAATTGTTAGTTTAGTCAATGAATATATATTGGGAACTTTTAGTAATTTGCAAGACATTCTAGGTGCAAATTGTTCAAGACATTCTAGGTGCAAAATGAGTTCCATGAACAACTCATCTCGGACATTTCTGTACCTGAATGAAATACTTGTTTTAGGCTCTTCTATGCTCCTAGATTTAAGGAAGAATCCTCAGTGTATGCTTAGTGAAGAAAAAGTTCCTTGGGAATTCTTTTCCTAATCATCTAAGTAAACATGTTACCTTTTACATTTATTATTTCTTTAGATTCTTTAAATATTAGATTAGAAATTAATATAAATGTGATGCTTATTTCAGGAATATTGCATGTCAGAATATTTAAGAATGAGTGGTGTCTATTGGGGATTGACAGTAATGGATCTTATGGGGCAGCTTCATCGTATGAACAAAGAAGAAATTCTGGCATTTATCAAATCATGCCAACATGAATGTGGTGGAATAAGTGCCAGTATAGGCCATGATCCTCATCTTTTATATACATTAAGTGCTGTTCAGGTAAATACATACATTATTTATACAGAGTTGATAACGGCTTATCCATAGTGTTAATGTCTGTGAATTGTTTTGTAGACTCCAAGATACATTTTTTTAAAAAGTAATTCCTTACATTTACTGAGCTTTCTTTATATTCAGCATTATTCATTGTTAGCTAAAAAGTAATACCCTTTTTTGTTTTCTCAAATAAATGGTTCATCTTATTGTTTTGTCTTAAATTGGGAAAATATAAAGTACAATTGAGTGTTTGATTGATTATTGATTGATTTGTATGTCAACCCATCTTATGTAGCATAACCCTGAACCAGTCATAACAGTGATATGACCAATCAACTTTGACAAGATTAAGTAACTTCTTATAACTAAGAATACTGATGCTTTTAACACAAAGCATTATAGCTTCTTGGGTCAGTGATGAAATAATGTTTATCTGAATCTGTAGTTGATGTGGTTTAACACTCAGCTCTAGAATTACTCTGAGACCTGAGAACTTATTTTAAAAAAATAATTTATGTATTAGATTTCTGGATTCTATCAGAGCAATCTAATTCTTGAATCTTAATTCAAAACACCAGAATATCTTAGACCTGGAGAAATAAATCAACTGCCTTCCAAATTATAGCTCATATCATATTAACCAATGCAAACTATAGTAAAGTACATTCAAGCAGGGTGGATTTGATTTAAATCATAGTTTTCTACATAAAGACTAATTCTTGCTGGTATAACTTTAATATGCAAGTATATGAAGATTTTTAGAATAACAACTTTTCATATTAGTTTTTTTATCCCCAGTTTAATAGGTTAATCATTCATATTTGGACAACTTTTCTGTTGTACTTAGGAAGGAGAAAAATAATCATTATCTTAATAATAACAATTTAAATAGATTTATTCAACTGAAACAATAACATTACAGCATATGTTATTTGCTTAAACAAACATCCATGTTTGTTAACTAATTTGGCTAAACAAAATATATATATTTTAAGAAACTTAGACTGTCGGCCCATCCTACACATGAAAAACTTAAATACTGTCCTCTTTGGCTCACTCGTCATCATCATCTTCTTCTTTGTTCATAATCTGGAAAAGAAAAACAAGCTTTCCTGCTTTATCGGGTCCCAAACGATTTCTCAATTTAGAATGAATGAGTCCAAAGGAAGAGAATATTCTTTCAACGCCTGCAGAAGAAGCTACTGCTGTTAAAAGTGAAATCATTACTTGAACAGTCTCTCAATCCAAGTGCTTAAGTGACTTCCACCAGTTCACTGGTGTGACTTTCTTTAAAATATCTTCAGCAAACATATATTTCTTGAATGATTCCCCCTTAGCTTTGAAGTTTATTATAGTTGGCATTACGGATGGATGATTGCTGGATACCCATGTCATAGCTAACTCCTCTTCCTCAGCACTTAAGTTTTGACCCTGATACTGGATATTGACAATATTTGCCAAAAAATGAGCTGGAGACAGTACTTGTCCCATTTGTTTTTTTAATGCTTGTAATTTAATTCTGTCCATGTGTAGTTCTGTTTTTAAGTGTTCACTCAGTTCCTTCCAAATTTCAACAGCATCAGCAATAAAACAGCTATTTTTCTGTATTTTGTTTAAAGCTTCAGAGATGGGTTTCAGGATGCTCAGCATATGTTCAACATTTGTCTTAAGCCCAATGTTGAGGATTTTGGCCGTGACAGTGCCATCTATTTTATCTCGATTTTTTTCACAAACTGTCATCAGAATAGGCCAGTTCTTGATATACTGCTCAAAACAGTCCACCACAGAGTTCCATCTAACATCTTGTGGGAGCGTCAGCTTGGTTCCACCCATCCTTTTCAGAGCTGCTGCAGCAAAACGATTGTTACGGAAGTATTTAGCAATTTCAACAACATTAGTCTTTATTTCTGGAGCACTAAGTCTTTGGCTAAGAGGTGCAGCAAATGAGCACTGCAATCATATGTTATTAGCTTTGTATTCCCTTCCTGCTCTTCTAAATTTCTTCTCATCTTGGATACATTTGCAGCATTGTCTGTGACCAAACTGCGTACTAGACATATTGCCAAACTGGGTCTCTTTTACGGCCTGCTGCCATTATAGGTTTTTTCTTCCAAGGAAAGAATGTGATAAACCTCAGGTCATACACACAAAAAGATCCAAAGACTTGTCTGTCTGTGGCTGTGCAGTATAGTGCTCAGAAAGTTTCACTTTCATTTTGTACTGCTTGTCTGCTTGCCCCTTCCTCCTCACACTTAGTTTCACTTTCTTCTTGTGCAGATCTATTCTACTCCAAACAATCAGAAAAATATTGTTTCTATTCTGTTCACTGAACTTCTTGAAACTTAGCACTGAAGGGGTTGATTCTGTATTCATAGGTTTGTAGAACAATAGGATTAAGGTCTTTTTCTCAACTCTGTTCATGTTATAACATTTGCTGTGAAGAAGAGGCATGTGATCTCTGCTGAGTCAAATTCAGTTTTGAGAACTGCAAAAGTAAACCAAGCATCTGTGATAATATCTTGTAGGCAGAGAAACTGCCCAATAATCTTACAAAAACCTCTGGAAGAGCATGACATTGTGAATGGATTAATGGAATTTATTTACCAAAAAAATTATATACAGCCTTATTCTACATAATTAAAAAACTAATCTTTATTTCATGATGGAATAACCTTTGGATGGTAATATATTTTCCTCAAAAAGCATTTTATTTAAAAAAAATCCAATTTAAATAAAAAAATAGATTTAAAACAAAAAAATCTGATTTTTTTTATTTTTTTAAAAAAATCATTGATTTTTATCCACCCTGCATTCAAGACAATATATTAAATCATCTGCCTTCTATTAAGTTAATCAGATGGGAGCTGCAATGATCAGATGAAATCCCACATTCACATAAGAGAAAGGGAAGGAAATGTAGATCTTATTTGTCTTTGATCTTTCAAAAATTATATATGTCTTTTAATAAATTCTATTTTACACTCTTAATTGTTGCATACCTGCACATCTAAAACATGGTATAATTTCATCATACAAATTGTTAACTATATAATTAATAAAGCTGTAAATCGTGGTAATCTGGATAAATGTTTATAGTATTGGAATTATTTACTCTTAATTAAAAAGACAACTTAGGTTGGATCCAGTCTGCCATATGCAAAGTGATTGAAAATAGTCGTCTTAATCATCCCTAAATTTCCATTGATTCACAGAAGTCTACTTTAAATGTAATTAAATATGAGTTATAATTCAGCATATTTTGGACATAGTTGGAAACTTAAAATGTAATGTACCTCTAGGTATTTTATATTGGAGGTAGAATAAAATAGAACAGGATTGGATTTTTTTGTATATTTCAGGCTAGTGAAGTAAAATAACATTCTAATTAAAATAGTTTTGGATTTTTTTCAAATATATAAATAAGTTCTCAGGTATTGTTATATTCTAAAATTTTAATAGTTTCGGTTTTGTTTTCCAGATTCTAACCCTGTATGACAGTCTGGATGTTGTTGATGTAAATAAGATTGTTAGTTATGTAAAAAGCTTACAGAAGGAAGATGGATCATTTGCTGGAGACATTTGGGGTAACTTGTAAAAGTATATTGATTTCCATTTTCTGATGAAAGATTTAAAAATAATTCAAAAGGATATGTGGTGTTATTTCCACATTTTTTTCTGAGCTGTAGCTACTTAGATCTATGATGAGTTTTTATATACATCTGACTCTAAATGTGATGTGTTACCATTTTAGCTCTAGAATTACTCTGAGATCTGAGATATATTGCTTAATACTATAATTTTTGCATGAGTACAATTACTTTTTGTCAGTCTTATGAAAATATAATTGGCTTCTATGTAAAATTTAACAGCAGTAAGACGTCTTTAAATAGGAATCTATCTATAGGACTGAATCTTTAATTTGTTAATATATTTAGTATATTTACTTTTAAATATGATTATTTCTTAAAAGAATGTTCTTATCTTATTGGAGTATTTATATAAACAAGCTAATTTTGTCTATAATGTTATTTGAATCGATTCATAAATGTCTTATTTTTGTATTTTTGAGCCTAACTTAATTTTGTAAACTTTTTTCATGTAATGTATATAGCTGCTTTTATTTCTTCCTCTAGGAGAAATTGATACTAGGTTTTCATTTTGTGCAGTAGCAACTTTAGCCCTTCTGGTAAGTTCTTTGAACCAAATATATATATATACTGAAATGGTCAAGATATGTTTTCAAATAATCTGTATTTTGTTTTATTGAACATTTTTAAAAAAACTTTCCAGAATATTATTAGGTATGTAACATTTTAAAATATTCCTAGAGTGGAAAACTGGTATTAGCTAGGTTAATTCTGGCAATTCCAAGAATTAAAGCTCAACAAAATTGAAGATTCCAAGTTTGAAATTGGTATTATCTTCAGTTTGAAGAAAAAAGAATAAAGTATTATAATGAATTAAAAAGGCTATCTTGTCTTCAGTCCTTTGAGTACATTGTTAACGTTAATTAGTTTTGACAAATACTGTGTTCTACATTTGAAGCTACTTGTTCATTCAGGCCCTGGAAATTATGAATTTGCTAAATTGTAGAGCAGTGAATAATGGAAATCAATTGAGTTGACTTTTGAATGTTTCTCTAACTATAAATATGTCAAACTGAGTAGAAAGCTATTTTAGAAGAAGCACCTCACTATTATACTCGGCAGATAACAGTTGTGTTTTCCTCTGCCACATTGAATAGACATCAATGCTTAGTTGGATTTTGCCAAAGAACTAATTTTCAATTTGCTGCTTTTCAGGGGAAGTTGGATGCAATTGATATGGACAAAGCAGTAGATTTTGTGTTATCATGTATGAATTTTGATGGAGGATTTGGTTGTAGACCAGGATCTGAATCTCATGCAGGACAGGTAAATTATAATTAAAGCTTGGTAATAACATGCTGAATTGTCTTTGAAGTTTTTTTTAAAGTATTCATTAGTCTCATAAATATTAGACATGCTAAATCTGTTTGCATAATGTTATCAAAAACCTGGGTAAGGAAAATCTTTCTAAGAAGAAAAGTAAGATTATGATATTAATTAATATTATCCATTGATCCTGTGCATCTCTATCAATAAATTTAAATTTTATTTTTTAATGTTACTAGGTTAAATTAGTTTCATATTTTAATACTTAATTGTAAGTATGATAGCTAAAAATTGAGAGATTTAATTTGTTGCATTATATAAGTAATTGATATCCCACATTGTATTTTTCCTTTGCTTTATCTGAATAGTTTTCTAAAATAGACATGAACTTTATATCTGTAATTTTAGATCTATTGTTGCACAGGATTTCTGGCTATAACTGGCCAGTTACACCAAATAAATGCTGATCTTCTAGGATGGTGGCTTTGCGAACGTCAGTTGCCATCTGGTGGCCTTAATGGAAGACCAGAAAAGGTATAATTTGTGTGTGTTTTTCAGAATTCTGTAGTTTGAGAGGAAGTAGAATTTTGTAAATTGGTTATAGCATGTGTAAGATTGTTGTAAGACAACATTCGGAATTCATTGATACTTCCGTTAACACTTAATATTTTTAGCAAGGATTCTTGATTCCTTATAGGTGGTTATTTTCTTTATGCATTTGCAAATAACTTTGAAACTATCTAGATCAGACCTACACAACATACTAACCACCAAGCAGCATTGGTTATCTTCTAGACATTCAGCATAATAAGGGAATAGCGGTAAAGTCATTTTCTCCTGCCTTTGTCCATTGGAAAATATCATGAGGCAATGTTTGAATGGTGTATTATACATTGTTTTGGGGAGTAGACTTGACAGATAAACTATTCCTTAATGTAGCAAATTTGTCAAGACACTAGAAAGCTTATAGGTCTACCTCATTAATGTGCTATGACTAGAAACTGAAATCATGGAGTTTCCCCCTATCTTACTGATACTATATATTGGTTTATTATACTTAGACTAATATTTCTACTTTTTGTAGAAATCCCCTTTTTATCTTTTTCAAATTTAGCATCCTATTTCTTACTAAATAACCTTTTTATTAGTTGTAAAAGATGTTCATTGTTATTTTCTATGCATTTTCAATCTGATGTTCTTTTTCTTTAAACAGAAAAAAATCTAATCCATACTTTTTAGAAACCGCAAGTCCATGCATGTATACCTTAATGCATTCACACACCACAATAAAATACTTTCTCACCCTGTTTAAAACAATAGCTGAATTACACAGAGCACTAAGCTGCAAACACATTCAAACACAGTCATTGTGAAACATTTGTAATTCTAATTAAGATTTTTGAAAATAGTAAGGCAGCAAGAATATTTCAAGATTCACTGTAAAATTATGATGTTATGCTTTTTAAAAATTAGTTTTAATCTGTATTTTTATCTGTATCTTGTTAACTATGGACATAATAAACATAGGTCAATATTACATGGAGGCTTTCTCACAAAAATTGCTGCTAGATGAAAAATAGCAAGCATAATAAAATAATTTTAAGGAAACTTTGTATAGCTTAAATTGTGCATGTTTAATAAAAAGAAGTTTTTATTATTATTATTCCCAACTTTTTCTGTTCAGTGGGAGAAGGAACAGAGTTCCCTTGTCTTGTTTAATTTTTATGCAGGGAAAATATTTTATTTTGACTTAAATCACATTATTCTTGTTCTTAACAATCACCTAACATACTGTGCTGTCATTTCATTTGTCAGTTACCAGATGTATGTTATTCATGGTGGGTATTAGCATCCCTGAAGATAATTGGCAGGTTGCACTGGATTGACAGAGAGAAATTATGCAATTTTATCTTGGCTTGCCAGGATGAGGAAACTGGAGGATTTGCTGACAGACCGGGAGATATGGCAAGTAGTCTCAAATAGATTTGATTTTACTAAATCATAGCAGTATTTGATGCTTAGAAATACATTTGCATTTATTTCATGTTTTCTAGAAATCTATCACAAATGATGGTGTTCATTAAAGGATTTTTTTTCTTTTCAAATTAGATTAGTTCCACTTTAGTGGATAATCTGAAGATCTTTAATCTTCATGATTAAATGTTGTTTCTAATCATAAGTAGTTACTACTAGGGAAATTTGTTACCAGAATCAAGGGTATAACTAATCAAATACTTTGAAAATCTTGAATCAGTTAGAAGAAATCTATATAAAGAACTTCTGAATAAAATATCTCTTGAAGATGTAACACAAAGACTTCCAAATAAATGCTGGTAGATATAATAACCTTTAATCCTTGCCAAGATTTTATCCTAATCTGACTTTAGATATTATTTTAATTCAGAATGAGAAGTGGGGATACTGCAAGGAAAACCACTAGCCTATAAATAAATATATTGTCAGAAATATGTGGGGCCCTTAATAAAGATGATGGACATAGTTAGCTTCACATTTAGTGTAGAAGTACATCTTCCTGTTCAGAAAAAGTACAAATTAAGTTAGATAACTAACAAATCTCCTTTTGAAATACATGGGTAGCAGGGAATAGTGTTTTGTTGCCATTTTAGACATTTTGTGATATATGGCTCGAGCCATATTATAAATAGCCAGTACTGCCACAACATTAAAAGTATACATGAAATGGAAAATACATTTCATTCAAGCCTAAAACAAAGTACAAATAATCCTCAATTTACTACCATTTGTTCAGCAAGCATTCAGAGTTTACAATGGTGCTGAAAAATGGAACTTATGGCCTGTGCCTAAAGTTACATTCAGTGCCAAAGCCATCATGCATGGAACATTATACCCGTGTTTTCAATGTTAAAAGTATTCCTATCAGTCTAGGAACCCATGCCTTTAGCTGCACTGAATTTGAAGTTCAGAGGTGATGGGTAAAATGACAAATGATGAAGACATTCCCTACCATAAGATTGGAATATAATGATTTCAACCTATAGTGGGTATAGACTTCTCTGAATTTTAGCATTATTATACTACAAATGAAAGTACAATGTTACTTTTCCTCAACATATTAAATTATATTCCTGGGAATGAAAAAAAAAAAAGCTACAGTATTGTTGATACATTGTATTCTGGCTAATTAGTTTGCATTTCCTTTAATTAAAATCCTTTAAACTTTTCCTGGTTTTCTAAAAATGAGTAGTTAATAAGATGTGCATTACCATTGTTCTTTTTTTAATTTGAATCTTCAAATTTATTTAGTATAGAAAACTGCCTAATCTTTTAAAATATCTTATCTCATGGAAAGTAATGTTTTCAATAAATATACCTTAATATATTCTAGGTGGATCCATTTCACACTTTGTTTGGAATTGCTGGATTATCATTACTGGGTGAAGAACAGATTAAGCCTGTAAATCCTGTGTTTTGTATGCCTGAAGAGATCCTTCAAAGAATAAATGTACAGCCTGAACTTATTAGCTAGGGTACAGTATGTATAAAATACTTTAATAAGCAGCTTTGAATTTTTCCATCAAGGCATTTCTAAATGTGTTTACATTATAAATTGCCACTTTACTGTAAGCACTATCATTTTGTACATGTTACTGTAAACAAAGTAAATAAACTGAGTGTGACATGTACTTGAGGTTTTCAGTAACAGATATATGTATTTAAGTATTTTGCCTTCAGTGCTGCTTCACTTTGAAAATAACATACTGTGTTAGGTGCAGTAGATATATACTTGAATTATGATTATGATACAATCATTCATCCATCTGGGTGATAAGCAACAAGTACTAGATAGTAAATTGTCCTAGGCATTTCTTCTGTTGATAGAAATTTACTTGTTTATTTTGCAAGTGACAGTTCATGCACTTGAATGCCCCTTCAGGATATGCGATAATTAAATCCAGTTTAATTTATTTGTCAAACCATAATAGAAGAAATACAATGGTATCCAAATAGTTATTCTCTATTAGTGACATTCTTTAAAGAAAACACATAATTATAATGTAACTTGGTTTTAACTAATGGCCTTGCTGAATTTTACAAATTGTTTTCTTTGCTCTAAAATATTTATTATACAATGTGGCTTGAATCCCAATTTTAGTAAACTTGGAATAATTGTATATATTCAAGAATAAAGTTGTATAAGATTGTTTTCTGCAAGAGAAAATACTTGTTTCCATTAGAATTATAGAAATGTCTCTATTTCATATGTCACAACTGCATTTGTAAGTTGATTGAAATCAAAGTATAAATAAATCTGTTTTGCTTAAAACAGATTAAAGTTAATCTATATATAAAAGCGAAAACCATTCATGCTGTAATCACGAAATCTCTAGAACCGTAAAGCCTACAAACTTGAAATTTGCCATGTATGTTCCTCTTGGCTTCTAGGTGCTCACTAAGAAAGGATTTTTCGAAATGACCACCAGAGCATTAGTGTTTCCTATATTATTAACACGCTTTGATGCTAAGGAGTTCTACTCCCCCTCCCCACCTGAAAAGAAATCTGTTCCAAATGCAAAACACAAGCAGAGGAGAGGAGTTTCAGTTTTACTTTCACAGCAACAAGCAGGGATAGGATAGGGGAGGCTTCTGTGGGGCAAGGCTGAGGGAGAGAAGGGGAGAGGAGAGGTCGATGTTAACTACTCATTAATTTTCAAGCTTTAAGTGTCAATTTATCAAGCCCCATCACATAGTTTTGTAGCGAAGGACGGGTACCCAGCTAGTTATAATTATAGATGTATTTGTCCACGGGCCACCGGAAGTAAGAAATTTTCAGGTTTGCATTTTTTGTTGCATTTCTGTTTTCAAAAAAGTATCAAGGGTTTTTTAATCAAATATTTAAGTTCTAGCCTTTATGCTACATATGACTCATGCACATTATACCTAGAAAGGCAACAATTGTTAAACCAGAGTTGTTCATATTATGTAAAAGCAAAATAGTACAGGTGGGTCCTCTGGTTACAATTACTTGTTCAGCAACAATTCAAACTCATTGCGAAACAAGTGGTTTTGACCAGTTCTCAGTTTTCTGGCTACAGCAGTGTATCCACAGATATGTGATCGCAATCTGGACACTTGGTGCCGTGTTCATGATCATGTCACAGCAAGCCACGGTTACATGATCATGATTTCCAACATTCCCTGCTACTTTCCGACAAGCAAAGCCAATTGGAAAGCCAACAGAACGTCGGAAGTTATGGCCATGTGAGATTATGGCAACCAGAACTGCCATTGGGAAGCAGCATGGTCATAGGACATCACACTTTGCAACCACATCACGTAATGACGGCAATTCCAGTTTCAATTGCTGTAAACCAAATACTAGCTAAATATTTTCAAAGTGTTGTATTTGATTTTTAAAAAATTCCCAATAGCTAAAAGCACAGCAAGATGGGAAGTAGATTCTTGGGGTACTGAATTCTGGGCTTGCGCCATGTGCAACTACAGAATTAAATATTCAGGTCCATATCAACTCTGACCTTTACTGATGGAAAATTATCATTTGCTTTCAATCTGTGGACAAAGATGTAATATTAAAATGGATACAAATTACACCAATCCCAGCCATACAATCTCTCCATTTTTTCATTCTGTGCCATGTGGAAGGAGAAAGTAAAATGGCACTTAAAAAACAAAACTCTTCAATCTTTTCTGCAGTAGTCACTCAAATTTCTAAATTTTAATTTTTAAAGAACTATATTGAGTTACTTCAAGTGTGACCTAAGCACCAACCAAGATGACTGCTTCCAATGAAACTGAATTTTATTAGGTTATCTGGTCAAACAAGATTATGTCATACAAACATGCCCATTTTCTGAACTGATAACGCTATAAATCAACTTCTGGTACTAATTACTAAAGTACACTGCTGCTAAACTGGTTTCAAAGAATATCAGGAAACCCCTACCACCATTTATAATGAAGAAAATTTGTCCATTCTCCATTATCAGTCAATTTGCAACTGCTGCATTTCTAAATTTTGGTTTTCTTTATCAATGTATTTGGAAAGTTGTTCTCATTTTTCCTAATTTTATCTACATCTAGCTGGATTAGGTTAGTCCAGCGGTCTTCAACCTTAAACACTCAAAGAGCCGTCTGGACCCGTTTCCCACAGAAAACACCGGGAGCCACAAAGCCCTTCCCGTGCCTGACTATTTCTTGAGCAGCCACAAAACTAGCATATGTAGTTGAATTAAACGTTCTGTTTTCTTCTGAAACTTTTCTTTTCTTGGATTTATCCATGGTTGACCTACCGGGGGTTGAAAAGCTCAATAAATTGTGTGCTAGCGGGTGTCGCATATTGGTGGTTGTGACGCATATTTTGAGTGATGGAGCTGCAGCAGAGAGGTGAAAGAGCCACATGCGGCTCCAGAGCCGCAGGTTGCTGACCCCTGGGTTAGTCTGAAGTTGCAAGCAAGAGTGTGAAATTAGAGCTTGAATGTTGTATGTAGTGCCAAGAAAGGATATATGCAAAGAAATATTACACTATTGCATAAAGATCAATATTTAGATTCATAAATAAAAATGCAGTGTGTTTTGGTAGTTCTGTCACCTTTCATCTGAATGCAAAGTAAAGCTCAATAGGAATACAATAGTAGCTCTTCAAAATGGCATTAAAGCAATCCTATTGCAATCCAAATTCAGATTTCGTTGGTTTCAAGTTTGACAGCTGCTGTCTCATCACTTATAACGAAACATTCAGTTCAGGTTTAATTAAATCCAGCTTTTCAATATGATGAATACAGCATTTTTGCTTCACTTCATCAAAAAGTGGCTGAACTAAGGATATGCAAGCATCCACCGCAATGTTAACAGGTTACTGACACTCTGAGAAGAAGATGTTATCCTGGAGGAAACAATCTAAAATTATACATATCATTTCCCTTAGTTCTAAATTGCATTTTTGCTACAAATGAACTGTAGTGTCAACTGCCTAGGAAGTTCCTTTAAAAAAAAAAAAGTACTTTTTTTAAAAAAGTACAACTGGGCTAGGATTCCTTAACCAAAGTCTAAACTGTGTGGACTACAGTTCCCATCATTTGAAAGCGATGACACGTGGCATCAAGTTTGGATAACCCGATGGGGAAAAAAAAGAAAAGAGCTGTCCTGTTTGAAGCCTCCACAGTTAAGGTGGCTTTTTCCTGGTGGGTTGTACAATTTTGAGACAACGGCTGAAAATGCTAAGGGGGAGGGGGGCATACTTAAATCATACTCTCTAATGTTCACCTGTGTAAGAAAGTTCCTCCCCAAGGTCGAGGGAGCTCGTATGAGAGTTATTTTTTGTCCCTTGGCGAAATCAATTAAATGGGAGACGCCCCTCTGTCTTGCTTGAAATAGTACAGTCCGCTGTCTCCATTTGGCGCAGCCGAGGCTCGGGCTGACTTTTTGAGGCAAACGGGGCGGAGGGTTTATTAAGCCGTCTGCCTCGGGCTGGGGTTTGTTAGAGGCGATCCCCCGAAACAGGTGGATCATGGCGGAAGTATCGGCTGCTTCTACCTCGTATTCGGGCCGCTGCTCGTCGTCTTCTGGCCCCGAGCGTCAGCCCCGTTACCAATTCGGTCTTCAAGAGACGCCGGGTTTGACCGACGAGCCCTCTCACCCTCAGCGGGGGAAAACGGCCATCAGGGTCCCCAATGGCGCCTCGGCCTTCCCTCCGAAAGGGTTGGAAGGTGGGCATTGCCCGAAATAGTGAAAATAACGTTCTCTTCTGGGCGGAAACGTCAATCCACAACTCACCTTTCAAGGCTTCTCTAATAATAAATGAATGGGAAGCATTAGCGGCAACTAACTCTCAAAAGTTTAGGTTTCTTTAATGACAGTTTCGTTTACCCAGTTCTTGAATGGGCAAAACTTCCATTCTTATTTATGGAATAGACTTTTATCCCACCTTTGTCACTTCATTAGTACAGGTAGTCCTCGACGTGCAGCAGTTCGTTTAGTGACCGTTCAAAGTTACAACGGCACTGGAAAAAACGACAATTACGACCTTTGCACCATCCCCATGATCCTGTGATCAAAATTCAAATGCTTGGCAACTGACTCATATTTATGACTATTGCTGTGTCCCAAAAGGCCATGTGATCCCCTTTTGTGACCTTCTGACATAAATAAAGTTAAATGGGGAAGCCAGACTCAATAACTGATTTACTAACTTATCAACTGCAGTGATTCACTTAACAACCAAGGGAAGAAAGGTCGTAAAATGGGGCAAAACTCACTTAACAACACCTAAAAACAGAAATTTGAGGCTAAATTGTCATAAGTCGAGGACTAACTATAACTTAATTTGACAGACATACATAATATTCCTCCCTCCTATTTTCTCCATAACAACAACCCTAAAATGGGTTAGCTGAGAGAGTCACTGGTCCAAAGTCCTCCCATCGGGGTTTTCAGCTTTTTCTGACTCCTCTGGCTATTAAGCATTTTATTTCTTTCACATCCTTCCTTTTGGTCAGCAGCTCAAAGAGTTATGTATAGTTTCCCCTCCTTTCTTTGCAGAACAGCCCTGTGAGGTGGCCTGGAATCACTTAGGAACATTTTCTGGCTGAGGAAGGGGCTTGGTTTTCTTTTATGACAATCCCACCTCTTAAATTTGCTCTACTGGCTCTCTAAATTGATCTGATCACACATCTGACTTGTTAATCCTTTAATGTTGAATATTTATCTGAACTTTGGAATAATTAATTTTATCTTCGCAAAAGTATTCTCGAAGTATATTCTCGAAGATAGCTTTTTCTATTATTTTTAATCATAAGTAAATATAGATATACAGCTTATATATTAAGATAACATATGCTATATGAGGGAAACCAACACATTTTTACAAACATGGATAAATATATAATTAGTGGGTTATGCATTTGACAACTTGCAACACTATTTGGTGGGGTTAAAATTCTGAAGTAAACTAAGCCATATTAAATATATGATAAATAATAATTTATTAAACATACATAATTTAAAGCTATAATTATAAATATGCACATACACTTTAAATGAATGACTAATTGTGGATCTGATAAATAGAAAATAAAAGGTGGAATTCAAAAGGACTTTCTAAACTAGGACATTAAAACTAAAAGGGCTTGGTTTCTTTCTAAACAAACTTGTAAATGATTAAGCACGAAGAACGAAGATTCTGCTCAGTTATATTAAATTACAATTATTGACTCAAATACAAAACGTATTTTTATAAGAGGCATTATAGTTTATATGTGATGCTAAGTAAAATACATAGATTTCTGATTATTGCAATTTAAATTAGCTTACCTGTTTGTTTGTTTGTTTTGTTTTGTTTGTTTTTAGTGGATTTATTCTAAACCTGGTGTCAATCCATAGGATGATAACCAATTATGACATTCTAGCATAAAATTTTTACAACTAATGGAAATATTTTCTCTCACACAAATGTCATATCTAGTCTTAATCTTAATGTAAAACTTAATGTAAGCATACACAACTTCTAAATAAACGTGCATAAAATTGTTCCACAAAACAAGGAAAAGTACATATTTTCTACAATATTATTGAAAAATATAAAATTCTTTATATAGTATAGTATCAGTGGCCTTGTTCTATTTGTTCAGTGAAACTATGTTTTCTTCCTTATTTAATGGACCTATGAATTTTATATATCTGTTCCGCTGTGTAATTGAAAAGGAGATCTTTTCTGAGATGAGCAGAACCTAATAATTTAGGAAATAGAACTTTGTGACTTTAACAAGGGATACTTAGAAATTGATTAATGGATTGGCTTCATTTTATCTCCAATGTGGATGTCAGTAATCTGAAAGTGTCATTACCTAGTTTTCTGCAGTATCATAGATGTCCCCAATTTTTAAAAATGTAGGTAAAAATTATCTTGAAAAGTTTAGAACTTTCATGAGATGGTAGATGAGTTTCAATTTATACTATATTTAAGACATATTTATATATAATATTTTAATGTTAGATATCCCAGAGCATCTAAGAGTGGGAATGCTATGGCACTTACAGGCACCAAATTTCCAACATCTTGTTTAAAAGAATTAAAAATGTTATTACTAAATAATGTTTCAAATAACTGCCTTAGAAATAAAGAAATGCGATCACTTTATATTAATTACTTTTTAAAAATGTTATTTTTATTTTTATTAGATTCATATTTTGGAGACAAGAGTTCTTATGCAGAAAACATTAGCACAGTAAATATGACAAGCCCTTCTTCCACCAAGGATATAAAGATTTCTAGAGTACGGAAAACACCTCTCTCATCCAACCGACCAGGATGTAGAAACTGGACTCCTTTCATGGGATATTCAGGTAAAGAAATTGGTTTACTTCATTTCAAAAGAAATATTCATACTAAATAGAAAACTACTTGGACTTCTATTGAATCCAGATTGAAATTAATTTCAGTTAACTGACTTGTATGTTACAAAGTGATTGTAAAGATCTCTAGAAGAATCTTTTTAAACTGGGTAAATGGCCAACCAAATTGCTAATATAGAGTAATTTAAGTACACAAGGTCCTCAACTTACAACTGCTCATTCAGTTGTAACAATTCAAAGTTACAACAGCACTGAAAAAAGTGACTTATGACCGGTTTTTACACTTATGACCACTGCAGCATTTCCATGTCATGTGATCAAAATTCAAATGCTTGGCAACTGGCATATATTTATGACAGTTGCAGTATCTGGGGGTTATGTAATCACATATTGTGACCTTCTGACAAGCAAAGTCAATGGGGAAGCCAGATTTACTTAACAACTGCAGTGATTCACTTAACTTAAGAAAAGTCTTAAAATGGGGCAAAACTCACTTAACAACTGTCTTGCTTAGGAACAGAAATTTTGTGCTCAATTGTGGTCATAAGTCAAGGTCTACCTGTTCAAAATATGCACATTAAGAGAAAAAAAGTAATTTTGCATATATGCTGATTTAGGTCTGAGCTAACTATGACTAACCAGAAAAAAGATCTTGGATTTATAGTGGATAGCTCCATAGTTTTAAAGTTAAATTCCATGGTATGGATCATAGGAAGAGAGTTGAAAATAAAAGCAAACAATACTGTAATGACATACACATTTATTGTAGAACTGTATCTAGAATGCTATGTCTGTTTGCCACATCTGCAAAGCAGTATTATAAAGATGGGAAACGTAGGAGATAGCTGTCAAATTTGCCATGGGGTTTGAACTCTCCTGTGAGAAAAAGCTAGAACGTTTGGTTAAAAAAAAAGTGACTGATGGAGGCAGTTGTATAAAATAATGCATTATTTGGAGGTCTCTCTTTCCAAAATGTGCTGAATAGAATGAGATTTAGAACAGGTAATTAAAAATACTTCTTCACCTTGTGCATTTTTGAAAATTAAAAAAAGTGGAGCTACTGACTTTGATGGCTTTAAAAGGGAATTGGATAAACTCATGAGGTACAAGCCTCTTAAATTAGCTCCAGGTTTTGGGGGCTGGAGGAGGCAACATATCATTTGCAGGAGAACAATAGCTGAACAGACGAATCCTAGAGGTGAACACGGCTTCTTTGAGACACCAATTATGGTAGCAGAAGAAAGGAATAGGTTGTTGTTGCATAAATCCAGCAAGGTAGCCAGAGCCAGAGGACCCTTCTGTGTGCAGTCTCTATTAGCATGGGAATAAAAATATTTCTGTAGGCCACAAGTGGCTTTTTTCAACTAAAGAACACACACACATACACACACACCACCCTTCCATGGCACTTTATACAGATATGTTTGTTTGTTTTATGTTACAGAAATATCCAAAAATTCAGTTAAAAATAATGGCTGATTTTCTACATCACATTAAGCCATTACTGTCCTATGGCTTACTGAATAAGACATTATTAGCTAGGCCATTAATTCTAACTATGGCTAATATATTAAACACCTGCAAGGTTCTGAGGTTCAAATAATCCCCATTTATTTAATGAAAATAGTTTAATGAATGTAAAAGGGCAAAATGGAAGAAATAGGCTAAATCTAAAATGACATTGCCAATCAGCATTGTCCAACTAGCATTTTTGCAGTGGGGTTTAGAAGCAAAAGTTGAGAAAACAACAGGAAATAAAAACAGCAAAACTCCCCAAGATTACTTTGGTATTTCAAAGACTGAGGAGAGTGTAGAAAATCTAAGAAGAAAACTAATAGATACTTATAATGGTCATAAACAAAATAAAGCTTAAGATACCATCTTGACATCTTAAGATTTTCATACAAAGCAAGGGACCCCCTGAGTCACAAGAAACCACTGAGTGCACAGCCTATTATAAAATGCGTGCCCAATCAGTGTGAAGAGACCAAAACAACATCTGGCAACATTTCTGTTCCTGCTATGGCCTCTTAGGCATTGCCTGCATACCGAACTCACTTTAATGAATCCTTGAGTGCTGGTAAACTTTTCATTATTTAAAAGAACCATTTCCAAAGGTCTATAATAATACAAACATTTTAGAAATTTATGCAGCCATCTGTAAGCCTGATGTGCAAATCCAATGAGAATAGTTTTTCTATTCTTCAACCTTAAATCAATGTCAGATATACCTGCTTCCTTCAGCAGAATTATTTGGGATCAATATTTGTAATTGGCTTTGCTTAAAAAATGAAATTATGATTCATGAAGACTCCAATACCCACTACCAATGCTGCAAGATTCTCGAGCAATGGTTCTTACAGATCCCATCGACATGGAAACTAGAAATGGCTTTACAAAGCAAGCCAAGCTTTTGGATCAAGGGCTTAATTAATATAACATTGACCTTGGCTCCCTCTAACCTGACCTATAGAAGTTGCAGAGACTATTGTATGTGTTTAGGTGATGTATAGTATTGACATTTTCCCTCTAATATCAACCTTGAAAAATCTGATCTTATGCTGGACAGGTTGTTGAACATATGGAATGTAGAACAATGAATTAAATGCCTGAGTCCCAACCTACTAATGAACTAGTTCATATTTGTTCTTACTCTGTCAAGGATTCAATTATAGATCTAATCCAAGATATTGATAAGAAACTTCATTTTAGCCAAGTGATTTGCTATAGATTTATGTTGAGCACAAAAATACAAGAATTCTTTTGGGGCTTTTTCAGAGTAGAAGATCAGTCAATGGTAGAGTAGGTTTAATGCACAATATTTTAAGCATCATTGAAAGTAATGGACTGAACAAGTCAAAATTGTAAGGACAAGCCTGTGATGGAGCTGCAAATATGAATGGATTGTAATCTAGTCTTTAAAGTAGTAATCTATCATAACAACAAAAACTACATATTTTCACTATTCAGTGACTGATGCTATATTATAAAAACTAATAATTTTATAGCATATGATGTATGCTCTAAAGTTCCCAGAATTACCTTGAGGTGAGATAGGTAGCCCATAAGTTTTATAAATAGATAAAAATGAATTGCATTTACAATAATTTTTCATACAGTATCAAATTATGGCATTCACTATTGTACGTATCAGTAGGCCAGGTAGGGAAAGGATTATAGGAATGCTACTGTATTTATTATTATAACCTAATAACCTAATCTTAAACATTTGCCAGAGTTTCCCTCTACCCCTCTTATACCAAACAGATTTGAGGAAGGAGTTTCTTACTCACAAGAAGGTGAAAACGACGGAAAGCCAAACCAAATCCCCCACCTCAGTCTTGGCACCTTCTTGACCATGGACATCTGTGGCACACTCATATTGTTTGTAGTCAGAAGTGCAAAAAAACAGATGCCTGAGTTCTGGAGAGTAAGATGTGGGGATGATCTAGTCATAGACTCTCTAATAAGAGGACTTGTCTATGGAGGGTTGTACTAACTTGTTGTCTATGGAGATTCTCAGTTATCCAGGTCATGGTTGCTTCAAAGGTGATTTTTTCAACTGGACTTCCTTGTTTTTCTTTGAAGACGTTTCACTTCTCATCCAAGAAGCTTCTTCAGCTCTGACTGGATGGTGGGGAATGGAAGAATTTATGTTGTGTTTGTTGTGATGTGATGTTACGTTACGTTACGTTACATTAAATCCTTCCATTCCCCACTATCCAGTCAGAAACGAGGGAGCTTCTTGGATGAGAAGCGAAATGTCTTGAAAGAAAAACAAGGAAGTCCAAAAGCACCTTTGGTATTAACTTGTTGCAGGTGAATTCTGCAAGAGGCAACAGTTAAACTCAGTTGACCTATTTTAAGAGATATACCATCTTAAGTATTGGTCAAATCATTTATTCACTCTTTCTGACTACCTTTCGTAGGTCAGAAGAGCCAAAGATGACATTAATTTGAATTCTAATAGTGTTTTAGAAAAAAATTTGTTTTCTCCTCAACCAATGAAAAGTCCTTGCCAGGAATAAACACAGTTACTTTGCTGTGTTTTGTCAGTGTCAGGCACGTCAGGATGAAACATGGCCCTCGACATCTGTTCTCACTCTCAGCCACTCGAAGTCTCTTGAGAAACCTGAAGCAAGGTTTTAATTCTCCCATGTATAGTAATTCTATTGTCATGGCATGGTTGCAATATTTCTTCTATTATAGGAAGGGGAGCATGTGAATTGCTGTTGTGAAACAACTATCAGTCATTCATAGAGAAGGGATGAATCAATTGGGGGGTGGGGCTCACTAGAAATTATCCATCCAAGCCCTGGTGTTAACCCTTTGTGATAGTCAGATCAGGAAACAAGCATCCCAAGGATTATAGGAATACTACTTTATTGTAAGGTATAATAAAAAAGATGTGGAATGCCCATCAATACAAATAACCTGGTTTTGAATGTTAATAAAACAAAGGAGATCATTGTTGATTTTAGAAAGAGCCGGCATAGTCATATTCCACTTTATGTCAAGGCTGCAGCTGTGGAGGTGGTCAATAGCATTAAGTATCTGGGGGCGCAGATAACAGATAATCTGACTTGATTTCTACATATGTTCTCTTTAGTGAAGTGTGCAAACCAACATTTGCATTTCCTGCGTCAGATGAGACTACATCTCTCTCCTTCAGTCCTGGCCACTTTTTACAAAGGAGCGCTTTAACAAATTGCATCTCTGTTTCCTTTGGTGGCAGCAGTGCCTCAGATAGAAGGTCCATACAGAAAGTGGTAAGGACAGATGAGAAGATTATAGGAAGCTCGCTTCCCATTATTCTTATGCTTATAAGCGCTATGTGCTTAGAGCTCGAAGTATTGTTAGAGACCCACACCCGCCCACTTCACGGTATGTTTCTCTTGCTTCCCTCTGGAAGGAGGTTTCAAAGTATCTATAGCAGGATTACTAGATTCTGTAACAGCTTTGTTCATTATGCCATCCGTCATGTAAATTCG